ACAAATGTTCAAAAATCTCTTCCGTTAAAGGCTTATTTTAGACCACACGACATGAGAAAACATGCAAATCTAAATCTGTACACCTTTAATATCCACTGTATATTGTATGCTGGATGGACTGTAATTCTTATTTGTTTTATTGATCTTTTTGTCTTTGCTATTCCAACAACTGATTAATGGCTTAATGGTTCCAAAGCAGAAATCTACCTGTTAGGTTAATGACTGACCTGGCTTGCAAGGGATTGGCTGCAGTGGCAGGGTCATCTGGTCAGAGGTGACTGGGAGGGGCTGGGTGTTGGGGTGGAAAGCTGGGATCATCACATATGGCATGTTCACCTGCTGGTAAACGTCAGGATAAATACACCTTACATTATGGTTCTAGCCTCATTTACCAGGTCTTATCCCATGTTAGAGCTTATGGCTGTGATATATGAAGAAATGAAAGTGTTGAGAGGAGCTGACCTGGATCTGCTGCTGAAGAAGATTGATCTTGTGCTGCTGCTGGATCAGCTGCTGCTGCTGTTTGGCGATCTGTGATATATGACATGGTTATTATGTATGCACGTGGTACACAGACACGAGTGCACACAGCGTCCATCTGTTCATGATCAGGCTTCATTCAAAACTCAACCTAGAAGGAGAATTAACACTTAATTAACTTGTTCTAAAGTCAAGTAAAATTGTAGGTACATAATATGAGTATAATATTGTGGTTTATACATAAACAACAATTTTGAGCCAAATATCTGATATGTAAGAACAGAAAATGTGTGACTGATCTCATACCATCAGCATTCTAGGTGAACCAGCTAGTTCTTCCATTTTCAGCGCTTTTTAGAAAGTCAGAAACATTTCAAGCATTTCTCTGCTTGAGGCTAGTAGTCTGAGACTACACTAGCTACTGCTAGCCTAAAACACCCAAATCTCCATCTTTTGGTGACTGCATTGAGGGTAATGTAGGTGCCAGATTTTGACAAGGAAAGAGAATGCGTGGAATAACAAAGACTGTCTGTATCTGAAATCACTCCCAATTTACTACAGAAGCACCCTACATTTACATTTTGATCTTTATTCCCCATTCGTGCATCTGAGTGGAGTGCAATGCAAAAACAGCACAGTACTGGCAAACACAGGCCTCTGGACTGTTCTAACACATGTCCAACACCATTCAGGTAAGCATTGGTATCACTGGCATTAATATTTAAATAAAGCACCAGAATTGCCACTGACTTTTTGAATGAAAGTTATGTCATAAAAAAGTCAGACTGTGCTGAGTTTTCCTAGTCTCCAAAAAGAGTGATATAAGGAGAGAGTGGGCGAGTGAGTGACAGAGCAGAGGAACCAAAACCTGACTTACACTAAAAAATAAACTGACACAAAGAGAATGGTGGTAGATGCATGGATTCTGAACGGTACCTGCTCCTGCTGCTGTCGAGCCAGCTCCATCTGCTGCTGCTGTTTTTCCAGCAGCAGGGCGGCCATGTTCCTCTGCTCTGAGTGAGCTCCCAGGAGCTGCTCCCTCAGACCGCTCAGCTGGTTGATCATCATCAACAACTGGAATTCCTTCTCTGCCAGAGACTCTGGAGTACCTGAAGGGGTCAGAGGTCAGATTTCTCTGAAAACTGCTTGAGCATTTCTATTTCATGACAGAGAGGCCGGTGTTATAGTACATGCACACTATTTCAATGGCTATGTTTCAGTTACGACTCTTGCAACATACCATATATTGGTTACACTTTGCAGTAAAGTAATTTGTATTTTTATATATATAATTCATTATCTATTATACCAAAACAGCTCAGATGAGACATGGAGGATTTGGTTCCCTGGTTTGAAACATTCCTCCTCAAATTTATTGAGTAACACAACAACAAAGACAGTGGACTATTTGACTATTTGGTTTCTTTCTCATTCTCACAGGATGAACCTAATAACCTTTTGATGTATAACATACAGTGAGAGCGGATTAGCTGGGGTGGGGCCACTTACACACACTCAGGTGTGTACATAAGGCAACGGTGTGCATGTTATGCACAGTAGATTTTGTCAGTCAGTCCAACGTCACTGTGCACTGCTGTCACTCACTCAGTTATAATTTCCACAAAGGATCAGGTTTCACAAAGACATATCTTTGCTACTACCACAGGGTTATACATTGTGTATATTTTTGCATTTTAAGATGATTTGATTCTGACAAAAGTAGCTGTAGGTGCAGATAAAGTGGGCAATGCATGCGTCTTTAACAGCCTGGGTGCTCCCACTGACCACAATCAGTCTCTGGATCAATTTTTGAGATCCATAAACTAAACACAGTGAATACAATAAATTTTTATTGTATTATTTTAAAAACAATTAACCATTTCTGAAGTTTCATGTAAATAAATCATATTGTGTAGATAAACAGAAAATAATTCAACACATTCTGAGATGCCCCTGAGATTTCAGTTTGAGATTTTCAGGAGGTCCGAGCTGTCAATCAGGGGCCAAAATGACTAAATACCAAGGTTTTCAAAAAATCTAAAAGACCACATATAAGAGCTGAGTGTGGTTACAACATTAGTAACACATACTATAATTTGACCAATTAAGCCTTCCCTTATTCTTCTTCTGTCTCCAGAGAGCTCTTTTTTGTTGTTTTATGTTTTTGTTTCATCTTCTGCTGGAAAAGAAGATGAAATCAACTTTCCAAGCACTAGTGTACCAAATCACTACATGCAGCCAGATATTGCTTTTGAATTTGTTTAACTAATAAGGCAAATGAAGATCATGACAAATGAAAGGCAGGTATGTGCACAATCTAATAGTAATGTGTTAGAAATAATGGTATGTATTGTCAGATATTAATACACAGTTAATAATGTGCCAATATACTGTAAATGGTCTAAAGGGATGGGGTAGTGTTTGAAAACTGACCTTTCAGTTGTTCTTCCCCCACTGTGCTTTTATCCAGAAGTTTCTCCTTCCAGTCAGTGGTTAGCAGCTTCTCAATGGTAGGCATTACTGTTAACAGGACACAACAGGTACTCAGCAGAAACACACTGGGCCACACTAGATGGCGTGAAAAATATATTCGGTCAAATAAAATCTATCTGACACCAAACTACTCTCTCAGCCTCTCATCTGCTGTCCTAATGGCACTGATTGAAAAAGACATTTGAGGTGCTCAAGAGCAGAGGTTGTTTGTGTATCTGGGAGATGTTTTGAGTGTTTGAGTGGATCAATATTTGTACAGAGAACAAACCAAGGTCAGCTAGTAGCGAGAATTTGAGAAAATTTTAAGGCGAGGAGTGCAGGCTGGTGAAAGAGGGCAGGGAGAGTCTTGGGAGCCACAGCTTTTTACACCAAATGTGAGGGGCTGAAAAAAATTAGTCCGAAAAAAAAATTCACCCTGATTCCCCTGAGGCTATTCAGGAACCAAAACAACACCCTCGCTTCTCTAGACAAACCGTCACTTCTATGCATCGATTTCCAGCAGACTGCATTGTTTAATGCTGAATAGCAGCAGAATGTAGTGCACTTAAACACATAAGCTATAGTGTTGTCAAAGTCTCGGAGGTGAGAAAATTGTATGGATGTGTATATATGTGAGTAGAAGAGAAAGACTCCCATAGAAGGAAACAAAACTAAGGTGCAGAAAGGTGACAGACTGTGGAGGCGCACTGATATAAACACTTCAAATGGTGAGCACTTGTTGAGGTGAATGAAGTTCAGATCCAAATACAAGTTACTGTCTTGTCCTGCTAGAACATTAAAAAGTGCATCAATCTCAGTTTTAACCGATTTGATCAAATGACTGGACAAAAAAACGTGGCTGTGGCTCACGAGGTAGGGCAGTCGTCTCCTGACCAGCAAGTTGGTGGTTCGACTGCCAGTCTTCCCGCATGCCTAAGTGTCCCTGAGCAAGACACTGAACCCCGAATTGCTCCTGGTGGCTTGACTAGTGCCGGTGCGTGGCAGCCTGTTGTCATCGGTGTGTGAATGTTGTGTGTGAATGGGTGAATGGTGTATGATCTCCTGTAAAGCGCTTTGGCCAGTGCAACCCACTGTGAGAAAGCGCTATATAAAATACAGTCCATTTACCATCAGATCAGCAGAGACAGCGTGTGTCCTCACAGATACAACTCAGGGACACTGAAAGCAATGAGCTGTGACAAACACATAAACTACACCAAATTTCACCCCGATTGTCTCAAACAAAAAAGTATGCCACTGAAAAACATTGAATTCCTAAATATGGTGGCTTTAAACAACGTGGGTTTAAAAATTAAAGCACAAAGTTTTCTTACAACCTGGATCTTTTTTTTTTTTTTTTACCAGTTTGTCATTGTTACTGTTATTATGGTTTACACCAGAATTCATATTCTGGCTGCTCATTTCTTGTCCTGTCAGTCTTGGTTATGGCAATGTTGCCATGTTCTCTGATCTTAGCAGTCACCCTTGAGAAACCATCTAAACCACATCAAGGCCATAAATTTACAATATACAATCTCAATGCTAACTGCAATATTTATCACATTCACTATAAAGGTGCCAGTGTGCTCCATTAGAAGTGTTTGTTGGATGTTTGAATCGCCCCTTTTCCCCACTTGTTTCACAGTTTCTGTAACTTTATTGAAACTAACAACCCGGCCTCCCAACCCTCCTCATGCCACGATTGGCCAGCTGTGTGAAGGTGAGTAAGGAGCTGGGCTTTGAAAGTCTCTTTTAAGCTCTTTTGGATTTTTCACACAACTATTTATGCCACTTTTCATGTGAACAACTAAGGTCAACACTAAAAGTGCCTTCCTGAATAAACATAAAAATGTGCGCCATTATTTCCATATTTAAACAGTATTGCAGCCTTCCAGTGTGGCCGTTTGGAACAGGTATAACATTTTAGGTTGCATAGAGTAGTTACTTTTGGCCATAACCCAGCCCTTAATTCAGCTTGTCAGAATGCTAACTTGGCATAACTATGCAGCACTAAACACAAAGTTGTACTAGAGTTTTGCAGGTCTGCAAGCAAGCAAAAAAAATTAGCTATGTGGTCATAACTGAAAGTAATGGTTTACCTAATGATGGCACTAAAGGAAAGGTCAGAGGATGGTCGTGGTTCTTACAATTTATTCTCTATTGGTCCTGAATATCTGCAGCAAGTTTCATAGCTATCTGTCCAATAATTAAAAGGATATTTGACTATAAAGCATAAATGTCAGTCCCAAGGTGACACAAAACAAAAAGTGAGGGGACCATGAAAGCCAACTGGATTCATCTTCATGAATGTCTGTGCAAAATTTCATGGGAATTCATCCAGTGGTTACTGAAATATTTTAGTCTGAACCAAAGTGACGGACCGACCAACACTGCTATCATGGCTGTAATAAAGTGCCGCAGGGATGATATTTTTTGTAGGCCAACTTGGTTCCCTCAATAACAAGTCAGTGGGAGTTTTCGATAGGTTTTTGGGTTATTTGGGTTGAAAACAAGCTCTATGATAAACAACCATTTGTGACATTTACACGTTTTGTTCAGTAAGATAATCTTAACCACTGAACACCACTTCTATGATTTTTGAAATCCAAATACAATCAGCAAAAGTAAAAAGCTATTGTTGGGCTATAAACCAACTACACCATGGTCCCATGACTTCAACGTCACCACCACGGCTTCCAACTTGTAATTTGAATTAGTGCACTTACCTCTTCTACAAAATCCTTTCCTCTTGACCTGACCTAACTGGTGATCATGGCTATGTCAGTTAGAATAGAGTTTAAAAATAACGAGGCTGTAAAGGAGAACTAGTGAGGAGATTTTTCTCCATCTCTGGTGTGATGATTATTAACGTCCCACACAGCCTCTGTAGTCTCATTTAGGCACGTTAGCAACCGTTAAAGACATGTAAAAGCATTAAAAATCATGAGTGGGGTATTCACTGATGTACTTCATTTCTTAGAACAAGACTGTTATGTATTGGCCTTGTGTTAATCACAGACCTTATTTCAGGCATCTAATCAAAAACCCATTCAAACAACCCACTGCTGCTGACTTCAGGATAAAGGAACCAAAACAATGCTAACTCAGAGTTGGATTTTAGGACTCAGAAAAAAAAGAAGAAAAAACTCAATCATGATCATTATTCATAAATTAAAAGGCTAGAGGTCATAGTTTTTTTTACCTTTACTGAGCAAAACATGCAGAAAAAGCTAGTAGTGGACCTTGAATTAAAATTATGTTGTCAGAATATTCAAAACGGGCTAACAGATCAACTACGTATGCAGTAGGTTGTGCCAAATCTAAGAGATTTCAGTTCTGTACCCTTGATGCTGCAGGGCAGAAAGTTAATGAGAGACCATATTAAGAGATTAGACACACCTTCCTTGAAGCTGGATTGCCCTTCTGGTTGATCGTGCATCCTGACCGCCTTCAGTCCCATGGGGCTTTGCCTGTGAGGGTGCTCCTTACCTGGAGAACCCTCCTGTCAGGACACAGAAAAGAGAGAACATCGATCAGACCAGGGTGAGGAAAGACTTTCTACTTTGACATATTGTTCTTAAACTGCCAATTGACAACCCTTCATGCTCTGTCATGCGTGTCATGATATCCTTACTGAAGGGGAGCGGGAGAGTGGTGGTGTCAGCTGGCGGGCCTCCAGTGGCTGACTTCCAGACCAGTCATGTGAAGGAGATGTCTTAAGACGTTCACCGCTGCTATTCACTCTACCTCCTCCGCTCGATTCCTCCTGTTCTACTTTGACACCAAGGCCTGCCATGGTGACATCCCCGCTGGAGAGAAGTTGCAGTGCTGGAGGGCTGGGCTCAACCATTCTGTTGAAAGACAAATAAAGCACTAGCTGTCATCTGGGTGTGGTATCCCACAGTCAAAATGACAGTATCTGTCCCTTATAATCTTTATCTTTATGTGAAATGAGCAATACTGCAAGAACAATACTCTACAACAGCTTCAAGGAAGTTGACTGGGTAAACCTAAAGCTCCAGTTACACAGGTAATAAGATTAGCCTACATCTTTGTTGTGAGGTTTTCCTTAGGCACAGTGGTGACTTGAGCCAAATGCTAATCCATTCATTGTTGAAATATTTTACTATGAATCAAAGCAGAGGACAAAACAACTTACATTGCCAATCTAAATTAAGAGTTTAAACAACAGGTAGAGGTGCAGAAGACAAAAATACAATACAGTATAAAAGATCTTCTTAGTTTCTAAAAGTTACCAACTTACAATAACAAAGAAAAAGTTAAAAACAAAAGAAATCTTTGAAGTGCATATTCTATAATTCTACAGCACTAATTTCCATAAGTACAACAATGAATTTATATCACTCAATTGTTTTTAAAATCCAATTCTGTTTCACCCAGTAATTAATTCCAATTGGTTCTACTTTGCTGTTCCTTTGATCGCTGTTGAGCTACCATCAAAGAAACTCAAACCTTTTCCTGCAGATGTTTCACATGAATAGCCTACAGTGTACCTGGAAAGAGATGGATAATGGCCTTCGATGTGATGGAATATGTGCAGAGGAGTGAGATGTTCCAATGTGATCGTTCAGACAGCAGTCGCATTGTCACGTATCAGATAAGAACCAAATCTAGGTCCACATGTAGAAGTGGATTTGAAAAAAAATCTGATTTGGTTTGTTTACACATTAATAAAAAGATCTGATCTGAGTCATTTGGGGAAGGGGACAGATCTGGGCCACTACAACAGTAAATGTGAACATAGCATAAGTACTGGAAGCTGTAGTGATGGAGTTAGTGCAGTGCATTATGGTCAAGACAGCAATTAACACAAAGGGAGTTTGGTGTCTGCATTACTAGCACATTACAACAGAATCAGATCAGAAATTAGGTAAATTCATAAAGCAGGGACTATGAGAAACATTTTACTTTTCTCTGATCAATAACCATACCATAAAATACGTTAAAATTAATCCCGTTGCAGAATTTATAAAAAGGTCATAAAGGTCAATAATGTTGAGGTCATGCAAGCCAGTTCATAAAAAATATGGCCCAAAATCTCATCACATAGGGTGTCTCTGGTGTCTAACATGTCGAAATGATTTAAGTCACTTCCAAAGTCAAGATCAAGGGTTAGGTGGTTGTTGTGTTAGAACCACCTGGGGTCACAGTGTGTGTGTGTGTGTGCTGTATGTACGGGTGTGTGTGACAGTGAATAATAGGAGGTTATAGGGGAGGGAGACAGACAACGCCTCAGTCAGGGAGAGAAAGGAGGAGAGGACAGGTTGAGTGAGAGAGGTCTGAACCACAATGAACTTGAACAAATCAACTCCGCTTGTGAGTGTGTGTGTGTGTGTGTGTGTGTGTGTGTGTGTGTGTGTGTTATTTCCCAGCTCTGCAGCAGGAGGAAAGAAAAACACAGCAGACAGCAGAACAAAACAAACAGAACACACAAGGGCAAAAAGTGCACATATATATAAAGAGGCAGAAAAAAAGCCATTGTTGGAGCCGGGGAACAAAGGAAGCTGGGACAATGGGGGAGAGGCTGACAAAAGCCGCCGGCCGCAGGAAGCTGGCCGGATAACAATGCCAGCGGAATGTGCCGACCAACTCAGGATCACAACGCAGAAAAAAAAAAACAGTTCTGTGGAAAGCATAATAATGTTTAGACCCCCCACCACCACCACCACCTTCACCCAGCTCTCCCAGTCTGCATACTATGTTTGTGAACAAAACCACCTGTCTGCCTGGGTCCAAGTCTCCAAACCCCAGTGATGTATATGCATGTATATATGTATGCGTGTATATTTAAAGGTGCACAATAAAATACAGCTATGAGTCACAAAGTGAGGCTAAAACAGTACAGGGCACCTCATCTTCTGACCTCTTGGTGGTCATGACTAGAAATCTTCTCGACACAGGAGGTGATACACACACACATAAGTGTGTTCAAAATGAGAAATTAGGACTGAACATGCAGCAAGTCACACAAGCTAATGCACTCTTATTGTATGCTTGGGTGGCAGCTCAACACAATCAATCCATTTATAGTTCTTCTGGGCTGAAAATTTAAAGCTTTAATAATCACCTTTATTTGGTCAAGTATGTTACACACACACACACACACACAGAATTTGTTTCCGGTACAGAACCAAGGCAACCATCTGCGGTACCAACTCACACCAATGGCTCTAACCATCGGGGGCAACTTGGGGGTTCAACATCTTGCCCAAGGACACTTCGACCCTCTGGTTGGGAGACATCTGCTCTACCCACTGACCCACAGTCACCAGTTTTAACTGGCACAGTGCTACATCTCTCTACAGTTTTGCATCACTGTCAATCAGTGAAATAGCATGACCCCGTCAGCGTGAATGTATCCCAGCACCTGCTTTCCCATGCATGCCCTGGCTAGTACTGCACAAAGAAAACAAGGGCCCACTCATCAGAACTTTGCTCCATAGTTCTACATGTGAAAATATCTCCAAAGGGTACCTTAAGGTTCTGCTGACACAGTGCCTCCTCCAATCTGCCACTGCAACTACACAACTACACCAGACAGTATTAGTCATAACTACTTATGTATGCTTCTTTTATCAGTTTTTGTTTATGTGTCTGCCATGGATGAAACAACTGTAGACTCCCACATACTAGCATTTCAATTTCAACTGCTGTGCAGCAAAATAAAATTACTACTGTGTATATGCAGGATCTTTGACAGTCTCCAATGTGCAGATCAGACAGAAACGTGTATGATCTCACTGACCTCGTGTGGCACTGTTTTGGACCTAAGCTCAACTATGACTACAAACATGTAGGAGAAAGGCGGAACTGGGCATGCAAAACATAAGCAAGGGTGATCTGGATAAACCTAGTGGTGGTGGCTATGATCATCTGAGTAAAATATTGTACACTTGACAATAATCTACCCTTGTTTTAGACAATGTTAAAAATGAATGAACAGGACTTGATTGTTGTCGAGTTAGTCATTGTTCACTATGCCATGAACCAGGGTACACATCACGTAGGACTGTTTCATCCATACATTTACTTATTGTTACTGCTGCTAGTTTTACTGAGTATCATTCTATCCATCCCAGACCCTTGTTTTTCTACTAAAACTACTGTTAGTTCAATTATTTCAGCCAAGTAGTGACAGTCAATATAGCTGAAACAAATATCACCATATTTCTATACTAGGGACAACATAGCTAATGTTTACAATATTGCATGTAAAATTTGTAGTTTAATGCAATTAACTGTGTTCCTGTGTTATATATCAGACAATTGTTTGGGCTTATTAATTAACACACAAGATACATGTAAATTCATATGATATGATCATATCATCTCATCACGATACAACTAAAATGTTGGTACACAAAAACATGAAACTGGACATTGGACTTAATGATATATGGAGATACATGCAGCTCAAAAGTTATGTTTTAGCTAAGGGTATTCTGACTATTCTAACAGGCAGAATTGTGGTAGAAGATTATTTTGCACTACTGGATTGTATGCTAACTGCATCCAGATGTTACAAACTATTGTGCGGTAAAATGCAAAACAAATGTTGGAATTTAAGGTTAATATGACAAAAGGACCTGAGAGAAGAGAATGATAAAGAGACATGGGCTCATGTGATCTCATGTAATGGTGAATATATTAGAAAGACAAGAGGGAAAGGTCTATTATATAAAGGTCTACAAAGAGCTTATTATCCACCTGTGAAATTAGAAAGAACTGGGCTGAACGAAGGCGAATCTCATGA